TCTATCTCTCAAAACATTGTCAGATTTGACCGACATGAAAAAGAATAAAGTAAAAACTGTGCTGTTGAGAGTTGTGTAGAGGAAAGAGAAATGTAAGGAACCACAATTGATTGATTAAAAGGGAAATCAATAAAGCATTTCGGACAATAAAAAAGGAAAGATGACAAACTTGTAAGGGGCGGATGAAGCACTATAGAGTACACTATTTTGACACTATTTAACATTGTTTTGCACTATGTTATCATCATTAATAAGGGTAGTAGAGTAAGTTGATATAAATTTGTTTATCAAATATGAAGTATAAAATTTGAACTTTATTTAGGAACAAATTTAAAAGGAAAATAAAAAGATTATTTAGGAACAGAGGAGTATACAACTTTTTTCTGCACTAAAATACTTTAAAGTATACGATGATACTACTATGTGTTTAATTTGGAGCTCTTTCTTTCAAGTTTCATATGGAGTCTGATCTATGATTAGGCGTACAATCACTCAATTAGGCATGTGGTTGAGATGAATTATCCTCCCACGAGGCGGTGTGCGTAGAAGCTTTTTTAGAAAAATGTTGATAAATATACACCTTTTATTTGTGTACATGATTTGTACACTTTATACATATTTTTAGACAATTGTCTGTATACATACAATTTTATCTATGACAAACAAAGTGTGAAAATTGTGTACAAAAAAAGGTGTACACCAAGCATTTCTGACTTTTATATTTTCGTTCGACATTGTTCGTAATATGAGTCAGTTCTTCATTTTTCAGAACTTTTAAACTGGTTTCTAAATATTATAACTTCTTCTAAAAAACTCTTTTCTCTTCGTGTGCCGTCATTTAAACATCTTTTTTATTTTTTCTTACTCTATACCAAAGCAGGAGAAAAAAAGACCATTTTCCCGCCAAAAGTTGCGGGTCAAATTCGGGTTGAGTGCTAAGAGATGCATCTTGATAGTTGTTTGAGCAAAACTACAGTTCATTTAATGTTAAATTATGAGATCACACCAGACCAAATGAAATCAGTTGAGACCATACCATACTTAAACAGACCAGACAAAAAATCAATTAAATTAAAATCATCCTTAATATCGTATTAATATAATAGTTAAGATGTCATTATGTCTCATAGTGGTTACAATTTTTAAAGCCTATGAAAGGCAACTCAAATTTAATAACAAGACACGCTCGCTACTTTTGGCAATTCAATCCTTTTAACACTTTCAACATATATTCATATTACTTTGATTTCATACTCGAGTGCTATATTGTAGCTTTTTCAAACAGCCGACAAACGTTCATTTTATTACCAACATCAAAGTTATAAAACCTCGCAAAAAACATCAAAGTTATAAAAACATTTCTTGTGGAATAAATTTTCATCACTCTTTCATACAATGGGGATGTTTGGAAAATGGCATTTCAGCCAAAAATGGGTGGTTTGACCCATTTTAACTTTTTTAATAAATGAAAACGTTATTTGGTAAATATTTTTTCGGACATAGCGTTTTTCGACCATAGCGTTTTTGGATGGAACAATTTAAAATGGAAACGCTAGAAATAGCAACGTTTTTTGTTATTGTTTTGAAATTCTACGGGGTATGACATTTTCTACTAATTGTTATGGCCAAACAACTAAATTACCAAACATTCTCAGACAACCGCCAACTTATTCCGCTAGTCAAATCCACTGACTGAATCTGCTGTTGACAACACGCTAACATAATCCGCTATCCTCTAACCGTTAAATGCCAAACACGTAGTACCTTTTTGACACATGTTTTTTTTGCATAAAAGTGTTCGATAATCATTCAACAAAAGATCAAGGAAATATAAATCTTGTTGGAGATATTTAATTGTGAATCAAGTTTGTCATAGATTAGCTTTATATTTAATCCTTGTATTTAATTAGTGCATGAATTAGATAGCAATCGGGCCAAGTGTTAGGCCCATATAAACAGGCTAAAAGCCGTGTACGCCTAACCTAAACCTCGCCTATAAAAAGGGAGTCGAGGGTTTAGGATTAGGTTAACGTCGTACTTATTCTTCATAGCCTTACGCACATACTTTTGTGTTGTACGAGTTCACGGTCTATCAAAGAGGGTTTTACGTTGATTCATTCTGTGTTCATCCTTACGTTTAATCTTCGTTGTTAGATCGTTATTCATTGCTGTTACAGAAACAGGGACTAACAAATCTGAATATCTCCAAAGACAAAAACTTGAGAACGTACATTTCATTAATCCTCTCATTAATTAATGCTAAGATATAATCCAAAATCAATCTAGAAGCATATCACATCTTGCACAAACTAACCCACAACTTACGCTTTAGAAGCTTGCTTTTCCTTAGCTTTCTGAATCTTCAAAACCTTTTTCACAATATTTTGTGCTTCAACCATAAAGGCTCTTATGATCCTTTCATGAACAACACTCCACCATAAGCACGGTTCAATGGTTCACTGTCCTACGACATCTACGCAATCTTGACTTCTTGTTTTAGCATGTCTCAACTCTCAAGTGAGGAAGTCCTTGGATTCGCTTTCCGGTTACAAGGCACTTAGGATCACTAGCCCTCTTCGATCTTTGTGGTTTGGTACACAAGCTTCCCATCAGGGTTTTGACGACCGAATGCTGATTGGACTTAGTGGCATAGCTATGCCTTGATAGACTAGCCGTTGCACCATTTTGACACGTGTGTGTTTAAGTTAAAGGTTCAAATAATATTATCATCTTTTATGAATGTAAATAAATATAAATGAAATTGGATAATAAAACAAGTATACCAATAATAAAAAATTAGATTGAAAAATTTGGGTTTTATAGAATGACAATACTCATGATTAGGAAAAATTCTATTAGGACACGAGATGTGTACACATTTGGCACTCTCTCCTGTGCAAGCAATTGTATTAGGAAAAATTCTATTAGGAACCGGTCTGAGAGGTTCTCATTTGTATCTCCATTGTCATTAATTACTTCTAATTCTACCCATAACTCCACAATTTTACCCACACTACCATTACTCACAAAGGACCAAATTTCAAAGTCACTTTTGAGTTCATTTAGCGAAGAATTTGAACAGGATGATGAAACCGGTCGGAGCTAGTAATTTCACTTTTGAGTTCATTTAGCGAAGAATTCTTTTGCAAGTAACTTCAACTTTCTCCCACTCACTTATCATTCATCCGTATCTCTCCTTGATTTTTCTTTTTCTTTTTATGCTTCTATTTCCCTTTTTCTTTTCTCTTAATTCTGACCTTTAATTTTTGTACCATTGACTTTTCTTTTGCCAAAAAACGCATTAACTTTTCCTTTTCTTGGTTCTGCTTCCGTTTTTCTTTTTTGTTTTCCTTTAGTTTTGAACTTTAACTTTTCTAACTTTAGTTTTTCTTTTTCTTTTTCTGCTTCCGTTTTTTACTTTTATATACACCTTTTGTCTTCTGCTCCTCTAATTTTGAACTCCTATTTCTTTTTTATTTGTATGTAAATTTTCTACAAGAAATTTTTCATGCAATTCTTTCAAAAATTCATATCAAATGACAATTCAATAAAAAAATATACCTTTCTCACTCTTCTATTAAAACGTCCAACTTTCAAAATAATTAAGAGTATACTATTTAAATTAAATGCACATTGATATCCAAAGAAAAATAAGCACAATAAAATTTATTGGTCTGAAATAAGAAATTGATGCTTCTTTATGCTATTGTGATATGAGCATACACAAATTGATATTTAAGCATACTGGAGATTTTCAATGTGCTTTTTAAATTTTTCGTAATTTATATATGCCCATTTATTATTGGTGTAATGCTCATTTTAAAATGAGCATTACACCACACATTTTAGAATATCACATCCATGCATATTGGTGTAATGCTCATTTTAAGTTTATCGATGCTCATTTCATAGGTTGTGTATTCTCATTTAATATTTGACCATACTCTGGAGATTTTAAATAAGCTTTTTCAAAATTTTTATGCTCATTTCGTAAGTATGTATGCCCATTTGATATTGATGTAATGTTCATTTTGTAAGTTACGTATGCTCATTTGGTATTGATGATATGCTCATTTTTAAAATATTATGTCAATGCATATTACGAATGTACCATATTATGTTAGATTTGCATATTGAAATTCATAAGATTGAGTAAATATATAATTTAGTATGTTTTTATATAAGATTAAATAAGAGAAAGAAAATAAATTAGAAAATATGAAGTAGAGATCACGATGCTCATTTTTTAATTTTTGGATACTCATTTTGTGAGTTGCGTATTCATTTAGTACCCGTGTTATGCTCATTTTAAAATGTTATATCAATGCATATCTCAAAAGTTTCATATTATATTAGATTCACATAAGAGTTGATTACAGATTACAATACTCAATCACAGATTCTAATACTCAATAACGGAGGTTTGATGCTCTCTGAAAATGTTTTGATGCTCAACGAACAAAACTTACAATTTTCATATCAATGCTCATCTTGTAAGTTACATATGCTCATTTGTATAGGTCTCATGCTCATTACAAGTTCATTAATGCTCATTTCACAGAAACCGTGATTTTCATCTCAATAGATCGAAGATGTTTGATACTCAATGAAAATGTCGTTATGTTACCCTAACAAACCTTACGATTTTTCACAGCAATGAACATTTTATAAGTTACGCGTGCTCATTTGGTACTGATGTTATCCTCATTTTAAAATGTTATATCAATGCATATTTTAAAAGTATCATATTACATTAAATTCACATATGGAAATTCATATGATTGTATTATACTCAATAAAATAGGTCATATGTTCATTAAAAATAGATCATATGTTCATTAAAAATACATTACTGCTCATTTAGCTGAAGCCGTGATTTTTCGCTTAAATTACTGAAAAGGTAACGATTTTTTTTGGATTGTATTAGTGGTTGGGCTGTATAAAGTACACCATATAGTCAAATACTGAAGTAAAACGGTACTCCTGCATAATTTTCCGTGTAATAAAGTACTCAAATAGTCAAATTAACTTCTAAGGATAGTTCTAGATGACACTTGCTTTAAAGAGGATGGTAGAGAGGGAAACTCAAGGCTAGAGGGACAGAGAAAGTGCATCTGAGTGGAAAGAGATCTAGATCGGTGCACAAGAACAGAGGCCTGAAGCTTTTCTGCTCTAAAAAATGGCCTCCCAGCTGTTAATGATAATTGTCTCTGTGCTTGATTCGGTAGCTTTTGCTTTAGCAGTGGCTGCTGAGCAGAGACGAAGCACTGTGAGCAAAGAAGTTTTTTTTTTTGTTTAAAAATATCACCTTTTTTTGTTTCATCCTCTTTTTACATGACCTTGTGTGTGACTGGGTGTTTTCTATTTTAAAGATAAATCCTTTATCTGTATTTTGTTTGTCATTTGTGGGTGAAACGCTGATCTTCCATTGAGATGAACTAGTTTAGTGCCAATCTTGAACTTTAATGGGAAGGAATGATAAAAGGGTTTAGGGTTTGGTTATAATTTTACTAGGATATAATCTATTTGATTAATGGAATTTAATTTGAGAAAAAACTGGAAAAACTTGATTTTTGTTCTGTTGAAGAAGTATTTCAGTCTTAGAATTTGGTGTTTTAACTTTATTGAACTAGTTTGGATCTGGAAATGAACTGGATTATAACAAATAGCTTCATGTTCATATGATCTTTGATATTACACTGTATACCCAATTGTTTTCTTTGATATTCTGGAATGATTTGCTAATTTTCCCAGCTCTGTAATGTTAAGTGTCCCAACTATAGACCAATTCCTTAGAAACTCTTTACGAGTATTATCAAAAGGGATAAAGGTTAGCTATATTGATTAGTTGGGAAGAATTGTGATAAATGTTCCGTTCTGATATTATAATAATACTAAAAGAAATGGAGAGCTGACTGTTATAGAGATGCCTTAACATGTCTCCTTAACCATTATGTGATGGCTTGTTTTGAGTCTTAGTAAGATTGAGATGTTCATTTTGAGTGTAAAATGCTCTCATACCATATTGAGTTTTGGAATGACCTTAACAGTGTCTGGGAAAGTTTTTGTGCATTGCTTTCAGCTTATTTTCTGGTATGCTGTTTTGCTTCATCTCGATGAAAAATGAATCTTTATCCTTTTTAGGCCCAAATTGGTACTGATATTGAAGAGACCCGTAATTACTGCATTTATGATTCCGACATTGCCACTGGATATGGTGTTGGTGCGATGTTATTTCTACTGGTCGGTCAAATTCTCCTCATGTTTACTAGCAGCTGCTTTTGCTGTGGAAAGGCTTTGAAGCCGGGAGGTTCTCGAGCTTGTGCAATTCTGCTATTCATTATTGGATGGTCTGCACCTTTTCTTTTCCTCTACCTTTGCACAATATTATTCTTGTTGTCTCACCACAGGCAGCTAAAATACCACCATGGTCACTACACTCAGCAGAAATTTAATCTTGGCTATTGCACTGTAAAGTTGAATAGCACCAAGGACCTATGGTTACCAGTCACTGTGGAAATACCATTATGGTCATTGCATATCAAAAGTCAAGCTTGTTTCCTCTTTGTTATCTATTTGTCGTTATTTGTTCTTATATCATTACATTCTTATTGACCGTAAAATCGGTACGTATGTTGATAAATTTTAAGAAATTGATACAGGGTCACATTTGCGGTAGCTGAGGTATGCTTGCTTGCTGGTTCTGTGAGGAACGCTTATCACACCAAGTACACATCATCGTTCTTAATGGATGACAAGCCACTCTCCTGTCAAACATTGAGAAAGGGGGTCTTTGCTGCTGGAGCAGCTTTCATTTTAATCACAAGCATCATCTCTCACTGCTACTATGCTTCCTACTCTAGGGCAAGGAGTGTCCCGGATGGGCCCCACAATAGATCGTCAAGCATTGGCATGGCAAGGATCTAATGAGTTTCCATAAAACTGAATACAAAATCTCCTTGCTCAGCTCGGTTTGAGCCCGTGACTGCCTGATTTTTTGAGTTTCATGTGACTTCGGCTCGTAATTATTAGTTGCATATGGTGTTTTATAAGTATAGCAGTGCAAGTGTAGTTGGAGACTGAGAACCTTGTCGCTGTGATGCTGTTGCTTGAAGTCCTTGAACTCTTCATTCTTTTGTGATATTATGTAAGCTTTACTCTTATACTACGTATTATCGATCCCTGTAATGCTGTATAGCCTATTGCTGCATCAGTAGTTCTTTACTTTCCCATTTTATACGCGGTACAAAAATTGGTACTACCTCCGTTCCTATTATAACTTCCAAATAGGTTTGGCACACAATTTAAGATAGTGGGTATTATGTGGCGGAGAGTTGTGCAGAGGAGAGAGAAATGTTGTGAACCACAAATTCTTTACCAAATAGGGAAAGTGGAAGTTTTAAACAAATTCTTTACCAAATAGGGAAAGTGGAAGTTTTAATCGGAACGGACGGAAAAAAAAAGTTGGAAGTTATAATAGGAATGGAGGGAGTATAATATACTCCCAATCTCTCTTAAAGAAGTTTCTTAGTTTGATTTTCATTGGGTATAAGAATATCTGATTTTTTCTTAGACTTATTTAACTATTGTTGTAGAGACTAGAGTACACTATTTTGATACGGCTTAACATTTTATAGTTATTTTGGTACGATTATCTGTTATTAGGTAGCTTAACTTTAGCATTGCAATCCTACCTAGATATGTGTGGTCTCGCACACACAAAATACTATCATCACATTTTAGACATTTTAGTTACTCTAAAAAAAGATGGCATCCTAGCCCTGAGGATCTTTCAAACCATTTGGGATTTTAGTTACACTTTATTATTAGTAGAATGACATAATCTTTTCTAATAAATTGGGGTTAAATGCTTATTATTTTATTTATACTCCATTTCATTGCCCAAAATATATTTTTTAACCAGTGCTCCAAAGCTTTACTTTTTTAGTGTGAAATTGACACCTATAAATCCTACTTTTATGCATTTTATAAAAAAAAATTATAGTGAAAATGTTCAGAATAATAACCCGAACTAATTAAAGAAATACTTGAACATTATGTACCTGACAAATTCTCTATCATCTTTTATTCCTTATCAATATTTTATTTATATTCATTTTCATTATTCGTTGTAATAGAGATTTCAAGGTAGTTCTAGTAATACTCCTTTAAATATTCATAGAAAGTAGGGAAAATGGTCAGATAGGTCCTCAAACTTACATAAAAAGGTCAAATAAGTCCTTAAATAGGAGGTTCTGTCCGACCGTCGCCATTTGGGGTGGTTCTCGGTGATATTTTTTTATGAATTTTTTTGAGCATCTTATTCATCAAGTCTAGTTTACTCATACCAAATTCCAGCTGAAACTTCAATCGGGAAGGCATTCAAATGAATTCTTGAAGATAATTGTGCAGTTAAAAGCACAGTTATCTTCAAGAATTCATTTGAATGTCTTTCCGATTGAATTGTTAGCTGAAATTTTGTATGAGTAAATTAGACTTAATGAATAAGATGTTCAAAATATTTCATCAAAAATCCACCGGGAACCGCCCCAAATGACGATGACCGGACAGAGTCTCCTGTATAAGGGCTTATTTGACCTTTTTATGTAAGTTCGAGGGTCTATTTGACCCTATAGGAGGAGAAGTGGGTTTGTGCTCATATTTATGAAACTTTGTATATTAAAATAAAAGTGTCTGTGAATATAAACATATTTTTCTATGATAGTTCAATATCCCATCCATTTCAAATTATAGGAGGTATAGCATATTTTTTAAATTTGATTAAGTTAAAATTAATTATCATATACTTTGTATTAATATTAGATGTAGTACTACTACGTATTACTAAAACTACTTTTTTTTAATGGTTACTAAAACTACATCAAAATCTCTATTATAACAAAAACTAAAAATTAATATAAATACAATATTGATAAGAAATCACATATTAAAGCAAATTTCATGAACATATGTTTACATATTTCTACCATATTTTAGGTAAATCAAATATTGTATTGATAATAGAAATAAGTTTAAGGATAATATAATATTGTTAATGCCCAAGGCCATGCTTCACAATGAGAACATGTTTGAAGTTGAATAGCGCACAATTCTTATTGGTTTTACTCCATATCAGCTGTACTTTGTTCTTGTTTATTTCATATTTCATGTTAGAGTAATTTACACAAAATGTGTACACAAACTGTACCCGGCAATTAGAGGGGTTGTTTAAATTGTGTACTAATTCCGAGTAAAATAAGAACTTTTTTTCATGTTATTGGTAAACATGATTATTTTTCTTGATAGAGATACTAATGAGTTAATGACTTCAAATTCAATGATAACTTCAGGTCTAAGTGGTTGTCAACCATCTAACGACTATGTAGTCTGTATTAACTATCTGGACATGTCTTAACAGAGCTTTGATTTAGGTAGAATCGCGCTTTGTTTTATAAATAAAATATACTATGTACTTGACAATTTCCCATAAAAAATATTAATATTTATTTCACAGTTTACTTTCAGAATTCGACGTTACAATCAATATGATGACAGAATTAATATTACGACAAACTAAAAAAAAAGGCTTAACATAAGAAAGAGTTCCGGCCTCCGGGGCGATCAACGAATGCGTCCTGTTGCACTAAAAAGTACGTTGCGTCGTTGCCACTCGCATATTTCTTCACATAAGGTTCATTCTAATCCGAAATAGAAAAGTTACTATTACACGATTTACAAAGGAGTAGGGATGGACCTGGGCCGGGCCGGTTCCGGCTCCGGGCCAGGCCCGGACGGGCTTTTTTTGCAATTCCTTGGGCCCGGAACCGGCCCGGGTTGCTACCGGGTCCGGGCCTAACCGGGCCGGGCCCGGTTCAATACTTTTTTTTTTGCTTTCTTGTTATCCCCCGACCCCCACCCCCCAAAACACCCAGCCCAACCCTAGGAAAAGAAAAAAAAATTGAAAAAACTAAAAAAAAAATAACCCGGGCCCGGCCCGAACCGCTCAGGCCGGTTCGCCCAAAACTGGGCCCGAGCCCGGCCCGCCCGGCCCGCCCACACGGGCTAAAAGCCCGGAACCGGCCAACCGGGCCCGCACAGTAGCGGGCCGGTCCGGTTCCGGCCCGGCCCAGTTCATCCCTACAAAGGAGAGACATCTCAGTCCTGTGCAAACGAAACACAGATCGAATTGCTTTGAGAAGAGTCACAATTTGGCATCAACATGGGAACACAACAATGAGGGCCAAAAAAATACTACATTATATATCCTGAATCTTTGTAATGCAATGAATGGAATGCAAAAAAAATATTGGGCATCCAAGCATATCATAGTTTATTTCCTGCCATTCTAAACAGAACATTGGTCAAAGTAAAATTGTGAAGTTTATCGCCGCAGGAGCCTAATCAGTTCATGCTTCAGCTATCCAAACTAAACTAAAGACTAGCAACCAGCTTTACATAGCAACATCTGGATCTAACCGCCTTTGTATAGCAGCTGCAGCCTATTGGGGGCATTGAAATAAAGAATAATCATCAATATTTGAAAGCATAATGTTTACAATGCAATACAAAGTATGCAATTAGTTGTTGTGCAAGAGTATTTCTAACCTCAAAGTTGCCAAGCTTGTACTGGTAAGCCATCTCCTCCTTTAGTTGAGCTTGTTCTTTCATTGCTTGAGCCTACAAATCAAAACACAAGAATCATCACGAGATGCTCATTAATTATAAAGATATGTTATGAAGAAAGGAATGGCAATATCGGTCATATTCATTTTGACTAAGATGTTTACCATTCCACTTTGCATGGATTGCTTCAATGCGTGCAATTGCTCCTCTTTCTGCTTTTCACGTTCTCGAAGTAGTTCTTGCCTGTAAACAGAACAAAACCGCAAACATTGAATGAACTAAAGGTTCTACACGAACTACAAAACAACTAATGAATATAGGAGAAATCCATATAAATATTCTACTTTACTACACCACACCTAGTTCATAAATTATGTCAAGTATATCTTGTTGTAGGAAAAATATAAAGAGCTCGTTTGGTAGCACTAAAATCGACTGAATCGACTGATTCTCCTAAAATTTATGAAGTTCTAGTTGAAGTGGCTGTATTGGCTGATTCTGCTGATTTATGAAAAAGTTATATTTAAAATATATTTTATTAATAAAATCAAGATAAAATTATATGAAAACTAGCTAAAAATGATCATATGTAATAACTTCAGCCAATCCAGTCAGAAAGGTAACTCTAACCTTACTTTTTCTTATTATTACACAATTCAGCGTACAAAATCAAAAGTTACGTGTTTGGTTAAAAAGTTGGCCGGTAAGCCGGAGAAGCCGAAAAATAGTCACCAAACGAGCTCAAAGACTCATAATACAACTAAACAGACCTATACTAAATCCATGTCACTATCCTATCAATATTCAATATAAAGCTTGACTCTTCGGAAGACAATATTTCGAAAAGGGTTTTTCTTCTGAAAATCTAACTAATACTAAGCCTACTAATTCCGCACATCAAAGTTAGAGGTGTATGGATCTATAAATAAGCTTCGTAAGAAACAAAACTAATTAGCAAAAAACAGTAATACAAATGTTCAGTGCACGAGTACAACAGATACATACCGACGTTGTTCTTCATCATTAAACACAGTACGTTCAGTGTCAACCTTATGTTGGCCTTTCTTCAATTCCTTTTGCATTTGACGTTGATAATACGCATCAAGGTCATAGTATCTGCAAGGATTAACCTCTAAGCACAATGAACTGAATGCTTAAGCAATTCACTGCACTGAAATTGGACTCTTAAGTAAAAAGTATAACATCCGAAACAACATCTCATATATGCTAAACCATTTCTATATAAAGCAATCCATTTGATATTTCCTAATATATTCCTCGCTTCAAGCAGCGAGAATTCTTAGGCACAGAGAAAATACATTTAAAGACAATCTTTTCAAATGCGAGGACAAAACCGTCTCACTTCAAGGAAAGCCATGATATCTAAATATCTAATGCAGAAAATGATTGCACCAAAACAGTGAAGAGCTTACTTTTTGGATGGGAATGTTGCTGTGTTATGATCCTCCATAAATCTGCATGATAATTTACTTTTAGAGACTAGAGGGTTTCAGAGATGTTTAAAATAAAAAAGACAAAGCAGGTAAAAATATCAAATAGCTAAGCAGTACATATGCATGTTTAAGAACCGGCCCAAGACCAACCACAAACACAATATTTACTTACTCTTTGAATAACTGTTTTTCTTCCCAGTTGGGAAGGCTTTCCAGGTTTACCTAAGAAAGAAATGAAATAATGCGTCAGCATAGGAAATATTTGGGTCCAGTCAAGAGCCTGCAATACCTAAATTGCAATCTAAAAGACAACTTTTCACATCAAAACGAGCCTATCAGCAGGCCCTTAGCAGTCATGAAAAAATGTTTGCTATTCCAAGTCCACCCGTCTGATGCAAACAATCACAATTTTGAACAATGATTGAGACAATAATTTGAGCACCATATCACATTTGTGTGTAAATCATGGAGGATGATAAGTTACTGTACTTCAAATGCTTTACCTGTTTTACTTCAGACAGCCATGCAGTAAACTCTGGACGCTTGTTCCTGAAACAGAAGTACCCTTCAGCTGACTTAATAGCAGTACTGTAAAACCTATATTAAAAATCTAACACCTAATCTCCCAAGTGAACTAAGAAAAATAATGAAAATACTTGAAAAATAGAGACTAAACCTATTTTCCAAGTGCTTAATGTTAGAGCTTAGGACTCAGTAATGCTTAATATATCTGAGGAACCAAAACAGGAAATAATTTACCTGAATCTACTCAAAACATCCAAAGAATAGAAAGCTCTAAACCTCATAAAGCAGTCACAGTTATTACTCAATAGATTAAATACGTGGATCTATATATCAGCTACAGACATGAAAAGATTTAACCAGCGAATCTCTTTTTCATAGCAATTAAGTGTAAGCATAAATCCTAACCCTAATTTTGCAACAGCCGAAGTCAATTTTCAAACCAAGAACAGGAGGGAATAAGTTAGGGAGCTAGAAATGGAACGAATAAACTCACCACATATCAGTTTCTCTAATAATTCCATATTTCCCCCAGGTATCAGTAACAGCACTGGTTTTGCCCCTATCTTTCTCTCTTTTCTTATCCTTCTTTTTCTTCTTTCTCCTCTTCTCGTCCTTCTTCCTCTGCTCTCTTTCTTTCTCCTTCCTCCTCTTCCTTTGTCTCTCACTTTCCTTCTCTCTCTTTCTCTTGCGTTCCTTTCCCTTTTCATCTCCGTCTCTACTCTTTCTCTCTCTTCTTCGGCGTCTCCTCTCCTCCTCTCCTTCCGTCGACTCCGAAGAATAAGAATCCGAGCCCGACTCCGTAGAAGAGGATGAATACGAATCTTCATCATCCCGCGCCCTTCTCTTCGAACTACGGCTTCGCTTCCGCTTGCTCTTTTTACTATGTCTGCGTACATCGGATCGTTTCGACCCATTTTCACAATCGGATTCGGAGTCTGAGCTGGATTGGGAATCTGAATCATCTACATTTCTGGATTTGGAGGATTTGAGATCTCGATTAGACGGAGTCCCGCCTTCACGATCAGGAGTTGTGGTTCTGTCTCTGGCCATCCCCGTTTCCCTCTCTTGGACCAAATGTTGCTCGTACGAATATTTGCAATACGGTGACAGACTTGTTTGGAAGATAAAAAAGTGTTTTCCTTGGTGTCTAAACTCTAAATAAATGATTAAAAAGTATTCATCTAACCTTTCAAAAAAAAAAAAAATACTCATCTAAAACTGTTTTTAATGATAAACTTCTTGTCAGATCTTTATTCTTTAAATAGGAATAATTGTTATCAAGTTTAAAAAATATTGAGTTAACAACTTAATTAAAATATAGCGCCGAAAGCTTATACATGGCTATAAGTGATCTGTTCTCTAGTTTTCATTTAAGGTTTGTCTTTCCGGCAGGTGATTTGCCCTATTTCTTGTTCGGCGACAGTGGGAGGGCGATCGTTACCACATTCTGCCTCTTCGTGGTCTGATTCTCTATAGCTGATATTTTTGGATGTGCTGCTATTGACCGAATCTGGAGATCTGTGATATACATTCATTTAAAAAATCGCCTAACAATTTCTGGATCGAGTTCTGAGTAAAGGAGAATGCAGATCGACGCCCCCCCCCCCCCCCCCCCCCCCTCTTGAGCCGCTGCCCTGGAACGATCGTGGTGCTAGGGTTTGGAAGATGATACTTCAAGAATACTGACAGGAAGGAGCTGGAGTATTCGTCAATTATTTTATTTTTTATGGTCTTACTTTTGAGTTAAGTTTGTTGTGTTGCTCTATTTTTAGTTGATGTGTTTTAGATCTACAATAAGGGTTGCCAATTCTGTTAGATATTATATCGTTAGAAGGATCTATATGGTCAGTGATTGTTGTGTCACACCCGGTTGGTGGTTAGCGATTCATATTGCTCTTTCATGGGTGTTCGTTTCTAAGTCTAGTCATAGGATTGATAGTGCTAGTTGTTTAGGGATAGTTGTTATCAGTGTTGGTCTCTTTGAATTGATTGTAATGATCTGAATCTTAATGATATTAATATAAGCGGTTTTTCTTTCAAAAAAAAACTGACAAACTTCTTATATCAAGGTGTTTGGAAAATATCGGAGTGTTTGGTGAAACCGCATAAATACTTTTGGTGCTCCAAATTACACCTATAAGCAGTTTTTTAGAAGTTATGGGAGATCAATTTCTGAAAAATTGATTCTGATTTTGCTTCTACTTTTAAAAAAGAAGCAGAAATAGAATCAATTCCAAACACCCCCTTAATATAAAAAACATACCTCGTACAAGATAACCTTCAGATAGTTTTAAGCTTTAAGAATATACATAGAGTCGAACACCATATACAAAACAGTTTGTCTTGCTAGATACAAAATGAACAATAATAAGCTTAAACGACCAGAACCAAAAGACTGCCTATAAAGAGTACTCCAAATATCCAAATATGATAATTATATTTATTCAAACTAAAATAAAAACAAGTACTGTTAAAGAAAAGACAATACTAAAATAAAATCTTTTCACAAAATCTCTTCCCGTCACAAAGGTGGTTTCAGAGGACGAACTACTACAATATGAGTGAAAAGTAAATTTTTCTTCCTAATTCGTTCTGGATAGACATAGAAACGGGTGAAGTATTAAACAATCTTTATGTCTGTACCATTCTCTATGCAGCCCAAAAATAGGTAGGTACAAATGTCAGACAATACGAAGGAGACAAAATATAATAAACCATCAATACCCAGAAAGAAGCCACCATACAACAAAACAAACACAACAATTGAAGAACAATCAAGTTGGATCATAATCCTTCTAAAGAATCTTTGACAAAGCTAGGCCAACTAATGAGAAGAAATCTTCACCTGAAGCCATCAAATTAGAGAAGATTGAATGTTGGTAGCTTCAAATCAAACTCGCCGGAGAAACGCTCCTAAAACCATCTTAGTTGGTGTGGAATTTTGGTGGGCATCCCCAATATGAATTTTGAATGATTTTAATGGAGTTCAGAATTCCGTTGCAATTTAGGTGTCTTCAATTTGTTTTTTTATGAAGTCTATGAAAATAATAGTGTTCTCAAACGTTCTATGAATTTCTATTTTATTTGTTGGATGAATTTCAATTGTTTTTTTTTGTGAATTTCTACCTATAAAACATTCCACAACAAATCTTGTATACACACCTCGAGTTTCAAAATGTGCATTCTTTTAAAATCCATGAAAGTCATAGCTGAGGACACCCGTTGATTTGCTTAAGAGCGATTCTGAAAACTTACCCTGGAAAGCATAGAAAATGATTTTTTTGGAAGAATTTGGCTTAAACTGAAATCTCAACATTTAGATGATGGGTGATCCGACAAATAGAATCCTCCCAAACGCTGTCCCGCGAACCAGACTCAGAGTTAATCACCTCATCAGAAGCAATATAACTCTCTGATCCATTAATGGGCAAAAATGAGCCATAAACGGTTACCTCAATTCCACTTTCACCCACATCTAAATCCAATGTCTTACAAATAGGAAAAACAACAGCTACACAAAATAAAAAGCAAACAGAAAAGTTTGAGAAGTAATAAAAGCTAAAATAAAAAATAGTAGGCTGCCTCCCACTCTGCCTGCTCTGCACCCTCATCAAGATTCCTTGCTTCTGACTCTGCATTTTCCTAGGCAGGCCTACTGCTCGAAGCCCGCCTCCTCCCCGGTTTTTGTCTCATCCTGTGCCATACTTTCTTTCCTTTGCAGATCATCTTCATGTGTCTCCCATAGCCTTCTGCACTTCTGTTCTCCTGATGCTTCTTCCTTATTCTCGCCTCCTACGCCCTTTGTTATACTCTGTTCTGACTCTGCCCCCGATTCTTTTCTCCCGACTCTCAACCTGTCCTCTGATTTAGCCCCCTCCTCATACCTATGATCCCTGCCAGAGCTCGATGAACCCTTCAGTAACCATTGGTTTCCTCTTGTATGACTCGTCTTCCCTCCACTACCCGCCCTTTGATGAACTACAAACTTTTTCTCCAAAACTAGATCTTCTTCGTAATTCAAGTGACGGAATTTGTCTGAAATGTCCAATTAATCCACAAATAAAACAGAAGTTTGGCAACTTCTCGTATTTAAAATTGTAACACCGTCCCCAAGTATATTTACTTTTGGTAAATCATGTAATGAACCTTGAATAATGATTCATGAATTTACGAGGTTGTAACTTTTTGTTGATTACATTCGCGTGAATAGTGAATCGCACGTGGGGCCCACATCGGGAGCGGGGACCACCCGATAACCCCGGAACCACATATTATATTAATTTTGGTCTAGATAATATTTATATGATGGTGTATATTTTAGTCGGGCCATGGAAAGGGCATAAGGTTGACCGGTCGGTCAAACAAGGCCCAATTTCCAGTATTGGAGATAAGATTTATCGGGTAACAGTCCAAAATGAATTTCGGAGACTCCCAAATTAAAGATGATGAATTTATATTCATTCTAAGAGTCCATGATGATGGGAAACACATAATATATTTTATTGGACTCGCTAAAATAAAACATAATTCAAACAGTCCGAAAAATACAACTTTCAAGACCGATTGTACGCGCCGGGACACAAAGGGTTGACCTTCCACATGGGTGGGTGCCAACCCACGAATTTAGCCACTCAATTAAGAGGGTTGGCCGGCTGGTGTGCTAGAAGGACATGGGAGAGGTGTGTGAAGTGAGGGAAAAGGCATCAAACAAAATAATGTGGGCCTCCCCCCACATCACTCTTACTATTGAGACAAAAAGAAACACCCACCCCTCTCTACCTAACCATTCGGCCATACTCACAAGGAGGAGAGGAAAATCCCAGAAAATATCACCCTCCATAGCCAAGAACAAGCTCAAGCTCAAGGAAGTGCGTAGAGGAGATTTAAGAAGGAAAAGTGAGGGAAAAACTCGGTTAATTAAGGTAATAACCTTATAATAACTTTTTCTCTACTTTTTAACTATAATATGACTACTATATCATATGAAGGACCTCTAAGGTTGTTCTACATATTTAGAAGTGTAGAACAAGGGATTGGAAGGTGGTTCTAAGTCCAAAAACGGACTTAGAAGCCAAAACGACCGGTTCACCGGAAAATAACCGTTTCAGGGTTATTTGTGTTGATATGGGTTTTGTGATGATAAAACCATGTTAGGAGCTTGACTAAAGTGTTTCTAGAGTTCGTCGGAGTTTCGCCGGAGCTTTGCCGGAGTTCAACTAAGAAGAGTAGAATCTTCTTAAAGCTCATTTGAGGTGAGTGGATGGCTTAGTGTCTTGTAACTTTTGGGTTAAGCATGAGATTACATAAGTATATGTTATGTGTGTTCATAATAATGTTTAAATGAATTAAACATGTGATTAGCCAATTAAAGTGATTAGGCTTGTATGAAGTGAACTATTGAAATATGCATTAATTGTGAAGTGAAAATGCTTATAAAAACATATGTGATATGTTTAGGGGTGAAATGTGCATAAAATAGTTATTGATAACTTAGTACATGTTGTGACTAAGTTTGACACACATTGGATTTGAAACGGTGGGTCAACCGAGAGTTGATCGGCGCCGGTTTGGCTTTACTTTACCCACATAAATTTTAATGCATGAATTGCATGGATAATTTTGCTTAGGCCTTACGACTTGGTCTAGTCTTATTTATTAATTATGATATAGGCTCTATCTAGTATGATATGTGGTAGATCATAGGTCGGGTAGAGTACCCAAGGATCGGGCGGTATCCTCAAAACTCGGTTATATAGGGTGGAGTACCCAAGGATCGGGCGGTATCCTCAAAACTCGGTTATATAGGGTGGAGTACCCAAGGATCGGGCGGTATCCTCAAAACTCGGTTATATAGGGTGGAGTACCCAAGGATCGGGCGGTATCCTCAAAACTCGGTTATATAGGGTTGAGTACCCAAGGATCGGGCGTGTATCCTCAAAACTCATAGATTACTATTTAGTAATTCAGGACCGGGCGGTGTCCTTATGATTATTTAATTTGGATAGGAGGAGTCCTATACACTCATAGGTCTATGGGTGGGTTGGGGTTTTAAGTCAAGGACATTGACTACCGTTATTTTTCACAATTAAACAATGACCTACGGGTCGGGTATTTCCAAGTGTATATAAGTAG